CCCGACAAATCTAGTAATGAGCATACGTCATATCATTTGTGAGTTATGGGAATGAATTGAAACATGGTTATAATGTGTCTTACAGTTTGAATGTACAACAAATTTTCTAAAAAATATACATTTTTAGCCTAATATTCTTAGATGAACTTCTCGGAAATAATTCCCTAATTCTCTAGAGTTTGTTTTTTGTGAACATTTTATGCCGATGGTCTTGCATAAAAATCATTCAAAATCGAAATTTTAAATAGCGTATGCTGGCTGAACATTAGCGAACGAAATTGCGCTCTATAAATCATTGTTTTAAAGGTGAAAATATATTCGGTAACTTTACTATTTTGTTTGATTGATATGTTATTCCGGATGCGTCGAGTGCTAAGGTCATTAATCCCGTAAGTGTTCCATGATTTCATGCGGAGATGTGATGGTGATCGCCCTCACTGGATTGCAAGATGCGGCGCCTACCTACATTCCGCAGCCAGGCATCTCCCGCCGGCGGGGCACCGCCCCAGCTGGGATATGCTCTAAGCTCGCGACTGATCAAGTGCGCTTGTGTAGTGAATGTATGTGAAAGAGGATAGAACAAGAAAGAAGAAGGAAAGATCGCCCGTACGTTCGGGCACTGCTCCGGCATTGGGCCGATGTTGATCGGAAAACATACGGAAAACTTCCGATCAGAGGAACCTGCCGGTTGAACTCTCCTCCAGACAGCTGTTGAAATCGACCTAGCTGCCTAGCAAGTGTCAGATATCCAACGACAATCAGAGTTCGAATCCTTGGACCTTCCGGTCAGAAGCACTGCAGTGACGTCAGCTGAAGCTACGAGCCACGTTTGCCGATGCTTACTTCGAACAACCATGCTGTAAACTACGCTATGCACCCTACACCCTTCATGCTCAGTATCGTGTGCGAGAAAACATAAAACGACTGTCTTTATTAACAAAATACGCCCTTCTGACCAATTATGATATAGAGCAGACTGAGGAATAGACTGTGATATAGGGCAGTCTATTCTAAGGAATCAATCTCCAAAAATACAAACATCACAATTTGTAGATTACCTGAGGAACCTAACTCGAGTCCCTTTCGGAGACCGAAAACGTAAATGGATCTTTTAAATAATTACTTGTAAATAGTTAAAAGATAAGCATTGAATTGTTGATCTAAAACAGGGATGTCCGACTAGCGGCCCGCGTTGCCAACTACTGAGACCCGCAAAAGGCTATTAATCAAAACTGAAAGTCCCTTGCACCCACGTCAGATGAGAATATTGCGAGACCAAGCCCATGTGCCCTGTCAGGGTCAATGACCCCTTAATGTAAAAATAGATTAATTTTGGATTTAAGATTTTTTCTAGTAAATTCAGGAATTCGAAATTACTCCAATGTGTTAGGCTGCGTTACGCATGGTTCTCCCCCCTTTCGGAGCAGCCGAGAGAACTGCCGAGATCAGCAATATGGGGAAGTCAGGTGTAAATCCCCTCAGTAGTATAAATGTGGCCCGTAATCATTTTTAAGGTTTTAGTTGTAGCCTTTAAGGTCTTGGAAGTTGGACACGACTGATTTAGAAAAACAAATTTTCTGATGAAATTTAGTAACTCGTATGATATTTTTATTTTTATGAGTTTCTCCCGTTAGGTTAGGTTGACTTCGGCTCCCACACTTTCCTTTTATTCTGTGATGACCAACAGCCTGCATTGGTTTCATCGCAAGAGAACTGTCACCAAATAGATTGTGGTTAAATACGAAACGACATTTTGAGTTGCTTTTCTTTCGTACTTAAGTAAGAGAAAAAAGGCGGGAGGTAGTGTTCTCGGTTGCGATGAATGTCGTAGCAGTTGTGAAATTATTACTCCTTGGAATGCTAGGTGAGGTGTGTTAAATTTAATATTATCTGATTTCTCACAAAATTTTCTATGTATTGAATAAAAGAAAGAGGTACCGTAGAACTCTTTCAATATCTTAAAAAACCTATGTCCGTAAAAGTTTTTGCATACGAGCCTATACCAATTTCAACTTATTTTTTGAAAAACTTTAGCTTTTACGAGCCAAATAATTGCTCCCTATCTTGAAGAACGGAGATTTTGCTTTTATTTGACGTATTTTTGGGGAGTACTTCACCGTGGTCGATCAAACGAACATACATATTACCTTAAAGACAGAACGCATCGTTTTCCAGTCACAACGTATGTGGCGGGTTGTATGTACACCTATTCAATTCTATGTTCAGTGCAGTTATTGAAAGATGGCCGCTGTCGTCACCAAAACAAGAATTTCTGATGACTAGGTGATTATCCTATGAGACGTTAGTATCTACAACTAAAGTAACACAGAATGTCTCAATCTCTCCAGACACGATATGAGAACTAGTCTCCCTCATTACCATGTCAGACACTACGTCACGATATCTGTTACATAATGCGATCCTAGTGCGTATTTCTTTTCGAAACTGCTCTTGTAATTTATTGATTTGTGTACTTGTGTATAATGATTCACATATTTTTCTTTTGAGATTGAAAAAAAAAACTATACAAGACAAATGGCAGATTCATGCGAATACTGGTAGTAAGTGCTATGCAAAGGCAATCAACAATCAACCGCTTTTCATTTAAAGTACCCACTAGTTTCGTGTATTCAATACCTCAAATGAATTCATATTCTGTGAATCAGTCAACAAACGCGCTCCGGCGTGGTTACTTGTACCGCCTCTTTACATCTAAAACCATTTGCAACAGTTCTTTTCGGTGACAAAATAAATTTCAGTAATTTATTAATATTGATTTATTTTCTCCTGAATTGATCTATTGATTTCTTTTTGTTACTACTTTGATGATGACTCGTTCATGCACATGCATGAGAAGTATCTTTTTTAAACGAAATTATAGTACTACTATTTGTACAAAGGTGTCAAAAACCTCCCTTATTACCAACATGTTCAGACTTCTCTAACCACAGCAGTCAGGCAAAGAAAGAAACTTTTCTCCGAAATGAACAGTTACGTCTGCTACAAGAAGGAAGGGAAAGATGTTTTGAGATTTTAAAATCCCCCATAAGATCCCTCCTACATGCGGTCAAAATTATTTGCATTTTGAGACATTTTCGTACTAGCATAAATAGTGTGCAGAAGAAGTGAAGATGAGATAGTTAAAATACATAGTAAACTGTACGTAGTAAATACTGTAAAAAAGTGCCAAAATATACTTATTTCATTTCAATATTAGAAATTTTAAATGTATTCAATAAATTAAATATTTTAACAAAAACTGTATTCACAAATACTCCAGTAACATAGTACAGTATACAAGGATGCACAGTATAACAGTTCATTACATATCCAAGAATATCATAAACATTGCTATCCCTAAACGCAGCCTGTGAATAGCAAATATTTACCATCAATCACCTGAGCTTTTTATTGAATAATTTCTCTCGAGTTCTTGGGTATCTAGCAAAAAACATAGCCACCTCTCACAAGGCCAAATACTGTTTAGTTTTCTTTCAATTGCGGTGAACACGAGAAATTCGTAATATATACTACTACGTCTTACTATATTCTGCCAGTCAGAATTATTGTCTTTGTATATTTTTGACAAAAGTATTTTTTGTCACAAAAATAAAGAAATATGCAGTGCAGTGAAATTTTGCCAAAAATACACAAAAAATGCAATTGATGAAAACATAAAACGTAAAATAATGTCTTTACGTCGATAAATGCCAGTAGGGAACTCGGAACCGAGCGGTGAACTTGCGTGTTTCCATTTACCCAAGTAATGTAGATTTATATTCAGAGTGAGAAAAGGTACACATTCTAATTGAGGAACTCAACGATTCAAGACCTGTCCCTTCACACACCATTAAGACTCTTCCGATTGCTAGGAGTCAAGTGCTGAGCAAACGAGAACAAAAACGTTATCTAATCTTCAAGGCTCACAACGCGTAAGGCTTGCGCCATTCACTGGGAATGTGTACTGGCTGTAACATTCAACATGTGCTTCGGCTTTGGAAATAGACATATCTTATGGCTGTGAACAATGTGCACTCTTTTACTGACAATCAAAATTATAACGTTACGGAACGCGAAGTATTGAATGAATTTTCGATGCATACTTCTTTCTCTTTCTTGGATATTTGAAAATATAAAATATTTTTGTGTTATCTTTGGCGAAATACAATAATTTAAAACGAAAAGCGACTTCAAACGCGAATTCTGCAAGCTGCATCTCAATGACACAGCCATCTCTACTACTAGAAATAACAGTTCATACAATTACGGGGTGAACAGCGCGTGGAACGTGTATTACCATTTACATTCAGCTATCGTTATTGAGTATAATCTATCTTTGAACAATCTATAGACAGTGATACGTACGCTACACTGAATAGACGGGGACGTTAGTTTATGCAATAACGTAAATAAATCTCATAATCACTAAGTATTCATCTTTTTTATTTGATAACAGATATTTTGAAATCAAAGAAGCATATCTCGTAACAACGAGTTTTCACATTTCGAATTTCATTTTTTAGAGCTCTATGGAGAGACGCATTCACAACGCCGATGTGAGTCTCCGATAATTTTTGACTTCCATTCACTCAAGGCCGTAACGTGAGTCTTAGAGAGGTGCAAGCTATATGAAAATGAGCCCCCTCATTTATTTTTTATAAAAAGTATTTCTTTTTTACGTTTTGGTCTATTATTTTCTAAATAATTAAGGTAGCTTTATACTCTTTAATGGAATGAAAACTAATAGAAGTAGCGATATGGGCTATAATGTGTATTTTTTCTTTCTATTTCAACCAATTAACAAGTGAAAATTCAAATTAAAAAGTTAAGTTATATATCTTATTCTTAATTTTTGAATTGTATAAAATAGAATTTCCCATTTATAAATAATGTGTTTTCAATCAAGGGTTTTCTAATTTCGCAAGCACTGCTCCGGTGGGAGTTCGGGCGATGAGAATAGGGGGATTTTCAATCGCAGCCAGCTGGCAGCACTGACTCACCGTTCAACCCCTTGAGGAACCCTCGCTTGTCACCCATGATGCAACACGAGACGAGAGCACAGACGGAGGATGAGGAGGCGTCTTCTCTGAGGTGGTTTCTTCAACTGGCGTCGTCAGGGGGACACTTGTCAGTCTGCTTCTTCCTCACACTATGGCAGGCGTCACTAGGCTCCAATTCCAACCCCGGGCACAGAGACGATTCTGAAGGACGAAAAAATAAAACACGATGCGTCAATGTCACTTTTAGGAACGATGCACGAGGTATGTGTTGCAGAACAAGAACGAAACGGAACCAAAAGATAATCGTCGCTCGCCGCGGCACGTCAACAATCGCCGGATGAGAAACAAAAGGCGCTCGCTCGTAGGCAGCACGCGGTTCCGTCACCGAAGGGGACGAGGGAGGCTTCAAGTACACGAGCCACGCGCAGGTCGCGAGGCAGCAAAGACTGCGGTCAGATCACGGGCGCGCTCCCGTTCGCCGGCTATATATACGCGCTGCATACGCGCTTCAGCTACTCCGTCGTGGCGGTGGCGGCGGCGGCGGCGGTAGCGTTGGCGGCCGGCGAGGGCCGCGAGTGACGTCACTGTCGCGTAGCAACTGACGGACGCCGCCGCTCCCGTCTGCGCTGGCAGACGTCGCTGGGACTCCGGCAACGGCACGTCGCAGAGCGGCGCGGGGCGGCGCGGGGCGGCGCGGGGCGGCGCGGGGCGGCGCGGGGCGGCGCGGGCACACACTGTGTTCCAACCCGATCCAACAGATTCTTTTCTCAGAAGAAAATGCGCGAGGCGCTGGCTGGCTGGTATTGTCCTTTGCCACTGCAGTGCCTCGAGTACGCGTGCTGACAGTGGTTGTTCCTTTTACATTAATCACATACATGTAGGTCGATTGCAGTCATTGTGCGGAGCGAATCTCTAGCGGGCGGATGCTCTGATTGGTTTTTGGTGGTTCTCCTTTTATTTCAGTTGAAAACCAGAGACGTACCTACTACCCTGAAAATGGGCCACGCACTTCGCGTGATCATCCCTCCCTCGTTCTTGTTGCCTTTTCTCTCCCTTACAGTGCACTATACTTTCATACTTGTTGGGAGACTAGTCTATGTCGGACACATTGTTCCACAGGAGGGAGACTCCTAGAGGAGGAACACTACAACCCGATGTGTAGGTTGGCGTCGGATCTCTCTTTCCAGCGGAAGAGGAACTTCGCTCGAGATATAACATTCACAACACTTACGATACTAATGCTGTAACTGTTAACGGACCAGAAAGCAAAATAGTAAATCAAACCGCTCCGACCGTCATCCGCTCCGTCTAGGCCAAGCGCGACAATCCGCGGCGCCCGCGCGGTCTGCAAGTACACATCTGCGCCATTCGATTGCCCCTACTGCACATTAGCGCCACAAGCTTCAACTGCAGCATTCGCCGTAAACAAAAGGTTCAATATCTTATTTAACGATATTTTGAGAGACGACTGTTCATATAATGTAATAAGATCGTCTCGTGACAATTTACATGATCTACTGAACTTCCTGAACAATAAAGAAAGAAGACAAACATGAGGATAACAATATACACGGAGTAGCATTCAAATGCACCTTTAAGCTAATATGCTTATTTTTCATGACGTACTTGTCATACTTCCCAATGTATATAATTCAGTGAAATATTGTGTATATTTATATACATGCGAGTGATTTCCAATGGGAGCCTTGCTCTTCATTAAATGAATGTTTCTAATGTAATTTTGCTGAGAAAGCCTCAGTTTCTGCACAGGATCATCATAACGATTTCTCTACATCTACAGAAGATCGTTGCTTATAGAAGTCGAAGCGCTCAGAATAGTTAAAAGAATATAGCTAAGCTCTGAGTAAATTTGTAAATTTAGGAATTGGAACGTAATTGCACTCGAATTTCATCGTCAGAACCTTAGGCCGCCAACAGGCCGACAGAATTCTAGTGCACTCGCTGTTTACAAAGAGAGCAACTGACCTCCCGCGTCTAGAACTGCGTCTCGAGTCCCGAAATTGCCAGTGACTACATCTGTGACGAAAAATTGTAAAACACTTTCTATGGAAATCTATGCTTCCAAGACCAACGCGATGACTGAATGATTAATTTGTCATAGAATGAGAAACACGCAAATGTTTTATCAGCTGAAAGACGCACGAGTTTGGTGGTATAACGGTTAGAAAATCGAACTGCTTTACCCAAGTTTGTAGGTTCAAACATGATCGACGCGCGATCGATCGATCGATTTTGTTAGGGATAAAAATGCCCTTTTACGCCTTCCTTTGGAAGGCACGTAAAACCGGCTGTCCGTTGTGGTAGATTTATTGCTTGTAACGGATCCTCAAGCCTAAAGAAAGATCTGAGCTAAATTCTAATCGCCAGTTTCGTCCAGACCCGAGATGATACTTTTCCTCTAGATCCGCTAGATGGTGAGAGGATCATAGCAACATTTTCTCAATTTTTAGAAGCCACTTTAAGAATATTAAAGAAGAGTAAAATACTAGTTCTAATATCAATTTTATTGAAAAATGTGGAGTCGATTTAAAGAAAATGGCGTTTAAGCGCTAACGTAAATTCGAAATTTAAAGCTCTTTTTCACAGAAAATTTTTGAAATTTTGAAAATCTTCATTAAAAGTCATTTAAAGCACAGTAACTCACATATAAAATAGTGTTTACAAGGAACTAAAAATCTGCATATTAACAACGCGAGCGATATTTCAAAGAAAATTAAATATTTAATTAAAAAAAACAAACGAAAAGGCAGAAAGAAAAATACTTCAAAGATCATATTCAACAGAGCAATTAGCACTTTCCACTGGAATAGTTTGAAGAAAACCACGCCCGCTTTATTCAGAGGTGGGACGGCCCACCTCTGAAGTGCCCTTTGGTGGCGAACGCTGAGCAATCAAGAGGCTAGGGGGTAATATTGTACTCCCACAATTAAATAGATGTGCTTTAATGACGCTAGTCACTTTCCAAAGCTCACGCCAATATGTCGATCATGAAATATCAGTTAACTCACAGCATCAATGATTTTCGGAACAACAACTGATTTTGGACGACCTTCTAGGGGTGTAGGACGTCTAGGAGTGAACTACGTTCACGATTGAATTCATCATACCATCTGGTCATCACATAAACACTGGTCCTTGATGGAGCTTCATCGCCAGAAATTGATTGAAGTTCATCCATGCACTGTTGCTGAGTTAATCCATGTTGAAAGTTGTAAAAAAATAATCCCACGAAAATGTTCACGATTTAATTCCATTTTGGGGTCAAGATGAATCTTTTACGTTACTATAAACGTAATGTTCACGATTTAATTCCATTTTGGGGTCAAGATGATTTGGGGTTTATGCAGTATCTTTGAGGACGGACAGACAGACGTTTTGCCATCAATCGATTTTTCGGTATCAAAGACCCGCAAAAGATGGATTCTGGCTACACGACGTGTTAGAGAATTTTTTTTTATATTTAGCAACTGGATTTATCTACTTTTTTCTTACCAGGACCTGGCAAAAAGAGTTTTTGTGTCGAAAATTTGCTATTTTCCGGTGCACGATTACAATACTTTCTCTTCTTTCGTTAGAGTGAGAAATTGAAAATTTGTAGCCTTCAGGGAATATCAGAATGGAATGGTACAATAACCTTCGGCACCGTGAATCACAAGCAGGATTTCTGTGCATTACGTTTTTTTTTTTTTTGGTCATGATGAAACTTCATGAAAAATGGTTATAATTGTCATATTTGTGTTTATATTTGCTTGAAAATATATTTTTCACCAAACGCTGTACGATTTGTAATGAGTTTTACAAAAAATGGTGATTGAGATGTATTAATTTGGTGAGAAATTGTGGTAGAATAGTATTAACAGATATTACTAAAGGAAAGTGTTAAGTACTACGTGTTTTTTTAGCACTACAAGTTATATCTATAGAATAAGAAAACGGTATCAATCGACGATTCAATTTTAAATTGCACCATATTAACTTTAGATTTGCGATAATATAAACTACAATCTACATTATTATTTTTTTTTCTTGGCTGTTCCACTAAAATAATTATTTTTAACGAAAACTTGTCACTTATTTGATGCTTTTGTGTAATTCAACTATAGGGACATTCAAAAACTCTAACAAATCTAAATCAAAATGTGAGTTGCGAAGCAATTGTTGAACATTTTTTACTATACTTGATAAGAATTCTCATATTTCAAAATCATACTGATATGAAAACTCTAGAATCACGTGTCATTACACCAACATGTAACTGGAGTATGAAGTTATATCAGCATAGTATGTTGTAATAAAGGATTAGTCACATCTTGCTGATCAGATAATATTTTTCACTGGAAAATCATTTTGAAACGATACACTCCTATTACACGAGAATAGTAACATTTTGTTTCATCCGAAATACAGACGCAAAGAGTTTAGGAATACAGGACGTAAAGAGTTTAGAACCATGATACGAGGGGCAAGGGAAATTGGAAAAACACTATTTTAGGAGAAACCAGAAGAAAAATTAATTTCAACTTCATAATTAGTCATGATAATCAAGGCATAATAACGCAATCTAACATTTTCATTTGTATTGTATATATGCATTAATATGGAAGGAATGACAAAATAAACTTTCAGCACTTCTAATGTAGTTCCTTTATCAATCATGTTATTTTGTAATATCAGATCTTTATAATTAAATTTCAATATCGTGTTAACCGTGGTCTTCTGCGCTAGCTTATCACTTTCTCACTTCAGAATTTTATCTCTAAGTTGATAAAGAACGTAACAACTTCAATATATTGTTTTCAAGATGCGGCGGTCGTATCGACGCTAGTATCGACGGACAGTTTTATCGGCCCACATTCGTGCATCTCGCGTTTAACTCAACGCCGAAGGCGCCTATCACGACCAGTTTCGCTCAATCAGTTTAACTTAAGTCTCGCTTTCTCTGCCCAACGGCCGGTGAGGGAAGATGGGCCTTCTAATGAGTGAATCAGAATTTGTGTTTTCAGTCGCGTCAACTATCGTGGTCATTAGTCCCGTGAAATGTAGTGCGAGATGCAGCAATGAGGTGGCGGTGTTTCCACGCCGTTGAGATCTAGCGCCGATTATACACGAGCTTGCGGGGTTTACTCCTCCCGTTATCTCCCGCAGGGCAGGAGCGCCCCAGCTGGGGTAACCTTTAAGCT